CGCTGCTGCGGCCGCCTGTGCCGCGAAGCGGCGCTGCGGGGCCTTGGAACAGCTCTCCGCGGGGCGGGGAGGGCCCTCTTCTCGGCAGAGCTTCTTTACTCGACCTTCTGCGATATGAAAAAGCAGCCCCGTGAAATGGAGAGGGCTTTGGCGTGTCGGGAAAAGCTGTCAGAAACCGTTATGTTCTGTCAAAAGGTGCAGAGATTAATGAGTCTCCTGGAATGCCCGAATATTGTTGGCAATTGCAGTTAATATTGCTGATTGCTTCTAATTCAGTACTCTAAAAGCTGCCTAATCTTTTCTTGAGTGATGCTGTAGTCACAGGTGATTGGAAGCAGAGCAGGGCTGTAGGCTGAATTCTTCTTGTTTTTATTAATAAAGAAGTGTTTCAAGGACGGAGGAATTGCGGTTAAATTTAGGCCCTACTGAGGCTCAGGGGCACAGCGGGAAAGGTAGCTCTAACAGGTTATGTCTAGAGCAGGGGGTGATTGCTGCCCTTTCTCCTCGCAGCCTGGCCTCCCTGCCGGAGAAACCCCCGGCTATAGACTGGGCTTATTACAAAACTGCTGTGGCGAAGGCTGGCATGGTGGACGACTTTCAGAAGAAGGTGAGTGTCACCCTCAGTCTATGCTCAGTGTGTTAATGTGGAACGTGCTTCGTGTTGGGCAGACGGCGGCACAGCGGGGTGTTTGGTTGGTTTTGGTGAGCTGCCCCTGCTCTACGTTCTGCAGTTCTGTGTAGCTCACCTGGACAAGGTCGTTGCAGGACCATCCTTCAGGGTGGATCCTGTGACACAGCAAGGAGCAGATGAAGCTAAATCTCATAAATTCCATGGGATGTGGGAGTGAATTCAGGGACTCCCTGTCCTGAAGCAAATATTTAAAGTATTTGTTTAACACAATGAATGGGAGAAGGTCACAAATATGTTTCTGTGCACCACGGAGTGCGTAAAACTAATCGAGGCCTCTAGGAAACCCTCTCTGTACAAACAGGAGTGGGAAAGAATGATGGAGGCTCTTGCTGATGGCCACACAGTGCCCTTGGTAGCAGGAACATTGGCTACTGCGAGGTTGGAAGGACCCACTGCCCTCAGGTGGACCAGGGAACTTGTCTTGGGGGCAAGGAAGTCTGTGATACGATATATTTTTGATATCAGACTTCATTGTGATACCGTGTTTTGCTCTCTGCAGTGCTACAGTGAATGAGTGTGGTAGGAAGGTTTTGCAATACACAGTAGATTGCTGAGAGCTTAAAGCAGTGCTGCTTGTGCAGGAGCAGGCTGAGAAGGCCTAGTAGCTTCCATGGCTGTGAGCACGTCCTAGGAAGGGAGAACTGCCTCCCTGCTGCCAGGGATAATGACTCTGATGCGAAGGATTATTTCAATGAAGCAAAACTGTTTGGAAATTTCTTTTTCAATTTACAGTTCAGTGCCCTGAAGATTCCTGAGCCAGTGGACACACAGACTGCCAAAGTTGATGCCCAAGAAAAGGAATCTGTAAGTGTTTAAACTGTTTCCTAATGCTGGGCTGTCTTCAACTTTCGTGGAGTTGGGAAGGGCTGGGAGGGAAGGTATTTTCTGTAATCGCATCTGCTTTTGGAAGGCCAGGCAGTATGAGGCAGAGCCTGGCCCTGATCTCTGTACATGTCACTGGCTTTTGGCTAAGCAGCAGCATCTCTGCCTTCGGAAAGGTTTGACTGTTTGGTATTTGATCAAAATCCTGCCTAATTTCTGGTGTAATGATACCAAATAGATGCAGATTAAGGCAAGGAACAAGGGGGTGGCAGGTTCACTGCAGCTCCCTGTCTTTACCATAAGCGTTTTCACCATGGCCTCTGCTTTCCTGCAGGCAAAGACCAGTGCTGAATACGTGCAGGCCTCCAAAGCTCGTATTGCCCAGTACGAGCAGGAGGTAAGTCTGGACTTTGCTCAGTGGCTATTCCCTTTAACCTAGCTTGGCAATGTCCTTGTTCCTGCTTGGTTGTGCTCTTTCTTGCCCACAGCTGCATTATAACCTGTTTGCCTCTGCTCCTGTTTCCAGCTTCAGAAGCTCAGAAGCATGATTCCCTTTGAACTGATGACGTATGAAGACTTGCACGAAGCCTTCCCTGAAACCAGACTGGACAAGGAGAAGCATCCGTACTGGCCGCACAAACCGATCGCTGATCTGTAAAGGTGTCAGCTTACCTAAGGCAGTTTATCCAATGACTGCCAGATTCTAGAATCTTTTAAATAAAGTATTTTCCCTCCTGGCTGATGAATTAGATCTTAGTTATGGGGTTGCAAGGATTTGAGATACATGGAGCAATGTATGTATTCATAGTCGTGCAAAGAATCTAGTTCTCTTGGTCTTTGTGGGCTTGCTTTTATAGCAGGAAACAATAAATCCGAGTCCCACAACATCTTCTGTAATGGAGATGAACCTAAAGTTCACTCCTGTGATCACCCAGGACAGGGAATTCGTTTACTCTGCCTCTGCAGGTGAGTAAGTTGTTCAGAAGATGGACTTGCACTGCCTTTTGTGGGGCTGGGGTGTGTTTAGCAGCTCCTACCACACAGAGGAGATCAAGTCACAGTGGTTTTGCAAGCAGTGGTCTAGGGACTTGTGGTGGGTTAGGTACAACCCATTGCAAAATGAGTTCTTCATTTGTAAAAACACCATATAAAATGTTATGAACACTGAAGGAATCAAGAGATCTTGAGCCATGTTTGTTCTGATTTTTTTTTTTTTAATTTTATTTTTCCTTTTTAACATCTAAAGTATTATCCCTTTAATCTTGATGTTGTTCTTGTTCGCTGTCCTGGTCTTTGAATGATGCAGATCTCACTGAAACTCACAGAAGCAGTAGGGCAAACACTTCAGACTTGCATCGGTGTATTTATTTATTTCAAATAGATGGATTGCTTCAACACCTTTTCCCAAACCGGAACATTTATATCAGAGAAGAACTGTCTTAACTCCCTTTATATGTCCTTTAGGACAATTAGAAATCACGCTTGTGGTAAGAATTCCTGTCAGATGGAATGAGGGTATTTTCCCCTAATTCCTCCATTCTTTTATTCAAAACCTTGCTAGCTGTAAATGCTTTAAGAGTGTATATATAGTTTTAATGAACTAGAGTATAGAGCACCTACCCTGCAGGTTCTAGGGCCTGTTCTTAATTTAGGCAACAGCTGCAGCTCTATGAATCAAGCAGGAAAAAAATTGCAGCAGAGAGAACAAAAGCAATAAAGCAGAGACAAACTGCATGAGCAGGGCAGAAAGCTAGTTTTTAACTTCTCCATTTTGCAATAACAATAATAAAGAACACCAGGGACAGGATGAAGTGACCGTATAGAAGCACCTTCTCCAAAATGGGCAGCAGTGGGTCCTGCTCCCGCGGCGCGCAGCGGCACCAGCTTTGGTGGCCTCTTCTCTGGCTCTTGGGAAGTTTGAGCAGTTCCGGGCGCTCCTTTTCCAGGTACTTTGTGGGCTGGTTGCTCACGTCTGCCTTGGCCGTCTCAGCGCACACAACTGCCAAGAGCAAATGTCAACATTGGAGGATTAGGGGATGAGGACCAGGACCGAGGTCGTTTAGGGCACTGTTTGCCCTGAGGTAACTGCATTTGCTTATTAAAGGGGTCATTAATTGCTTTACCTTTCCGGCCGAGCGTGGTAGCCTTGCCTACGTTGGGCTGGTGATGCAACAGGAACAGGGTATCCAAAGCAGCCATGATCATTAGCAGGAAGGTGCCTAGGAAAAACACCACTGCAAAGCAATATAAAAGCAAAGGAAGCTCTTGATAATTGGCATAATTATCTTGTAACTTACAGTATTGTCTGTGCTCAATTGCCTGATGGTGGAAGGGGGAGTTTCTTTCTCCAGGAGGTTGCTAACCTTGGCTGTTCATGACTTCAGCGGTCATGAACGTGTCCATAAACACCTCACTACCTTCATTAAACTTGGATCTGAGTTAAAATCAGCTACATTTTATTCAGTAAAGGGAGGTACCTATTATGGGCGGCTCGTTGGAGGAGGTCGGCAGCATGTTGTTGAGGATCACGGCCATCATGGAGCTGCCGAGGATGATGGCGATCTGGAAATTGATTTTTTCCTCCAGAGAGATGGGTCCAAACAGCACGGCCATGTCCAGCAGATACAGGGCGCATGTCGGGAGGATCAGGTTCAGAACGTACAGAATGGGTCGTCTCTCCATGGAAATCTGGGAAAGAAAGTGGGCAAAATTTAAGGAAGTAAAAGATAAACACTCATGAGCCTCCTGTTTTGGTCTGGGTGTTCTGAGCAAGAACAAAAGGTTTGAAGCACATCTGCTCTCGACTACCTGAACCCTTCTCGAGTACCTGTGATACTCGAGTGTGATCATGTAGTGCAGTTATCCTTGGTGGTCCAATTAGGACCCTCATGCAATGAACTCTCTGGGATGGGGCTGAGCAAAGGGCTCAGCTGGGTCTGGCTGGGTTTGTGAGCTTGGCCTTCGTGGTGCCAGCCAGGATCAGCACTGGAATGTCTTTGCACTCCAGACAGAGAAAATACTCTTTTTTTTCAGTTGCAAAACTATCCAGATGTTTCAGATTCACAAAGCTCTTTGGGGGTGTTGCTTAGTCCTGCCCCTTGTATTTTAAATACAAGTGTTTCAATCTGTAGGCAATGTTCTCTCTCTCTTTTTTCTTTTTTTTTTTTTCTTCTCTCTTTTTTTTGGCAAGTCAGTGCAATATAACATGAAAGCACTGCTATACCATATAGGTCATGATGCAAAATCGCATGTCTTCACTTTCTTCTATAGATTCAACGATGCTCAGGTTGGTGAACTTCCATTCTCCATCCGTTAGGAAGTTGGACTGGCTGATTTTCTTCATCTCAGCTGGGGTCCGTTTCATCCTCATGATGAGATCTGTTACTGCTTGGGAAGAGGGGAGGGAAGGAGAAGTGTTGCAGATCATTGTCAAATGTGGAGTTTCAATGGAGATGGGTTATTTCCTCCTCCTTTTCCCTCCCAACCTGTGGTGCATGTAGGTGGGGAAAGGCAATGGTCCTTCCACTGCTGGGGTTCATGTCACACCTTATCGAGAGGAATCTAAAAGGACTCCAGGGAAGGGACTTGCTTAGTGGGACACCCCAGGTGCTTCCAGTGACATTTCAAGGAGAGGTGCCCAAATGGCACCGCTGCTCTGACTTGTTTCCCCCAGTGCTGTGTGACCCCAATGTCCCCAGCCAGACCCGAGTACGTGGTGCTGCCGAGAGCCCTCGTGGTAACCAGGGTTCAGCTCCTCCCCGTGTCCTTGCGCAAATGCAGCCGCATCACGCTAAGACCAATGGCACTTGTGGGCCTACCTGGGTAGAGGTACGAAGCCACGCTAATATTGCACGTCTGGGTGTCGAACGGAAACCTGAGGATCTTCAGGCCGCAGGTGACGGTGACCTGGAAGGGCAGGGCGGTGTTGAAGCCGCCGTCGTGCGTGATCACCAAGTACTCCATCCTGCTGGACTTCTGATCGCCGACTCTGGGGGGTTGAAGGGGTCAAGAGCATCAGGGCACCGAGACGCCGCGACGCTCCTTGATCCGCAAGGCTGGGGCTACAGGGCTTCCCCTTCCTCCCCCTGTCCCCAAGAGCTGGCGGCTGCTCCCAACCCTCACTTAGATCCACACCAGTTTATTCCACACCTGATAAAAACACTGGTGGGAATTTAACTCTGCTGCACTGCTCGTCTCTGCTTCCTCAGCTTTTAAAGTCCAGATGTGGCATTTCTGAAGATGTTGCAACATTACAAAGCCACAAAGTGCTTTGTCTAAACTGCCGTCCCCGTTCCCATAGGCTGGCATTAGCTTCTGGAAGTAGCGTCAATCAGCAGGGACTGTCCCGTTTCCTGCAATACCCCCAACAGCTGCATCCATTGCACTGCCCTCAAGCCAGGGGACAAAAACGAAATGCAAACCTACTCTTCTAAAATGAAGAGCGGGGGGGACCAGTATGCATCCAGGGGCAGAGCAATCCTGGAAATGTTGCAGAAGTCCCGCGGGTCCCAAGTCGCTAAACTGTTCATCCACTCCTGGGGAGAGAAATTGTGGGAGAGAAGTGAGCGCCGGGCTCAGCCGCAGCGTCGGCCGCTTGTCCCAGGGCTCGAGCAACCTACCAAATTCAGCACAAAGTAGAAAGTGACAGTCTGGAGCTTTTCAACCTAAGGAAAAGAAATAAAATGGAAGTTATTGGGCTGATTTCCCTAGGAAATGCAGCCCGGAGCTCAGAAGCCGTCACTGCTCAGTGGACTGCACAGATTGTGGGAATGGCTCAGGAGGAGAGCTGAAAATGTTGGTGCTATGACAGAACAAGGAGGACAAGAGCAAATATACATATATATATATAAAAGGGTAGTCTTAACGTTTACCTGCCTGTGCCCTGTGATCCTGCCTGAATTGCTCAGTTAAAGTTTGTTTCATGGCTTTTTGCAAGACCCAGAGGAACTCGGTCCGCTTGCTCCTTTAGCCCGGGACAAAATGGGCTGCTCTTCTGAGCCCTTGTAGAAGTGGTGGTGGGGGGGAGAATATTCCAGACCCTCCCAAATATTTCACACAGCAGAAGGCTGATGAGGAAAGGGCAGGGGCTGTTTCTTGCACCCACGGACCCTCTAGGAGAACTAGCAGATGCAGCCTGACCCCAGACCGCATCGAGCTTCCTCGTACGAAGCCTGGGCAGCAGCTTTTGCTTCCTTACCACCGAGAGAATAGCCATGAGCATAAAATCCATCTTCACTTCCACGGGCTCCGTCCAGTTCCTCTTGGGCAGCACGTGTGCAGACAGCTTGTCGGAAGAGGAGATGTTCAAGTGCTTGATAACATCGTGGTACGTGCAGACGTACCTGGGAGCAGCCCCTGCTAGAATAAAACGCGCCTGATCAGGAAAGGGTTATCCCCTGGGAGGGACAGGGATGAACAGAGAGAGGGTGCGGAGCGGTGGGCATGAAAACAATCCTTAGCACAGGAAAATCCCATTTCCCCCAGGCAAGAAGAGAATTTGTTATTTTTTTTCTAATGCTCTTGCACCTACCTGTCCCAAGAGAAAGGGTGAGGACAGCTATAAAGGCTCGCTGCATCTTCTCCTGCTTCCCAACAAGCGTGCAATTGGTACTGGGCATCTTATAGACAGTTTGTGGACACGTCATTTGCTATGTAGATGGTTATTTGATATCTGCTAATGAGGGATGGAAATTTTGCAAGCAAAACCTCGACTTTTTATGTATTTATTTGGTTTGGACGAGGGATTTGCTAATGGCTTGATGCACTCAGTTGTCTCTTGGGAGCGGCCTCTTGTTGCGGTAAGGTAAAAGCAATGTCATTAAAAAATTCCCAACAATTTGAGGGAGAGGCGAGGAAAGCACTCAGCTTCACAAGGAGAAAGCCGGGAGCCAGAGCCGCTCCGGAGCAGATCTCCAGATTTTGCCTCGTGTGAGGGCTGAGTGTCGGCTGCAGCGGCGCGTTGGGCTCCGAGGAGGCTGGTTTCCTTCCAGGTGCAGCAAGTGGAGGCTCCCTTGGGAGGCTCCAAGTCCTTGTGCTTGGAAAGTCCCATCCCGGTGTCACCCCATAGCTGACACCTGAGTGCCGTGTCTCGGGTGGAGCAGCAGGTCCCCAAGCCCTCGCAGCGTCCCCAGCCTGGCTGCAGGGCGCTCCTGGCCTCTTGACGCCGCAAAGCGCTGCCCGGGGCTCGAGGCGCTCCAGAAACCGCGGGTTCCGCACGGGGACACGAACGTGGTCAGGCAGCCCCGGCACCGCAGCGGGGAGTAGGGATGGGGATGGGATGGGGAGCAGGGCCGGTCCGGGGGCTCCGGCGGGGGTGGATCCAGCGGGTGCAGGTGATGCTGCGTTTCGGCAGCTGCAGAGACTTTTTTTTTTTTTTTCCCTCCTTCCCTGTTTTTCTTTTCTTATTGCCCCTCTCCCCCTTCTTGTGCTTTGCAACCCTTTGAGAACAGGTTTCCCCATTCTTTCCCTTTTCAGGGAGCCCAAAATGATGGGGGCTGTTTTCAAGTCTTTGTTCCTGCAGGAAAAGTGTCACCATGTGGAGCTGGGGACAGGGACGGGAGGAGGGCGGCGCTTGGAGGGGGTGCTGGCACAGAAGGAGGTGGCAGGGGACAGGGAGCTCTGTGTGTCTGTGTGTGCGCACGCATTTTGGTGGGTTTTCTCGTGTTTTGGTGCTCCTGCAGCATGATGCTCCCACTGCTGTTATTCCAAGGGATCCGGGATTTGGGAATGTTGCCCATCCGCACAGACACTTGCCCTATGCAGCCCCAGTGGCCTAATGGATAAGGCACTGGCCTCCTAAGCCAGGGATTGTGGGTTCGAGTCCCATCTGGGGTGAGGGAACCTTTTGCTCTTCCTCCCTGGTTTAGTGACTGGGCTCTGTGCGGGCAGGAAGGACTAATCCCCCACTGCGGGTGGGAATGAGGGATCCGGGTGTCACACAGGGCCTGGAAAGGCACCTTGGAGCTGGGATAAAGGGAGATGGGGCAGACGGCTGCCGCCTCCTCCCGGGGAGGAGGGAAGCAGAGTCGCTCCCCCCATGGATTTAGATGTGCTCAGGAAAAGACATTTTGGGGGGCAGGAATAGCTGGTCACTGACACCTCCATGGGCATCCTCCAAGGTACCCCAGGCCCTGCTCACTGGCCAGGCCGGAGGAGGGAATTGCCGCCGCGTTTCCCCCCCTTCCACAGCCTCCCTCAGCCATAAAGCTGCTGCCTTGGCCCGAAACTAAGCGAAAGAGAGGGATTTATCCGGCGGTTGGCCGCGGCGCTGGGGGTCGGGAGCCTCTTTCCGGAGGCGGCGGGCACTGCCGGGAAGGACGGGCCTGGGCGCGGGGCTGCTCCGGCCACGGGCGCCGCTGGAAGGAGCCGCGGCTGCCCCAGCGCTCCGGAGGGTCCTGTCCTCCCGCGCTAATGGCTTTTAAAAGGCGGCTGCGGTTGGGATGAGCTTAGAGGAGCAAGCCCTAAAGAGAAGTTTCTTTCCAAGCAGTTTTTCTTCCCTCTTTTTCCTCTCCCGGAGGCGAGGCAGGGAGTGACTCTGTGCAGGGTTTGCTGCAGGCTGGTCCTGCCCTGCCACGTGCCCAGGAGCACCACATGCATCCGTGGATTAAGCTGTGGCCAGGCTGAAGGCAGAGGTGGGGATTAGATATTCTTTGGAAAATAACTTCTTTTTCTTTTTCTTTTTTTTTTTTTTGGCATTCCTCATGAGGTCACCTGAGTCTTGGGAGCTTTTCTGGGAAGGATCCCTGGGCTTCCCTTGTGCAGCATCTTCAGCGCGTGCCCTGGGATGTCCCCGTGACAGCGGCACGGGGGGCTGGTCACAGCGCGGCCCCGTGACCCCACATGTGAGGGACGACAATTCTAAACTAGTTCCCTGCAAGCAGGAGATTTTCCGTCTGTTTTGCCCCGGGGGTGCTTTCTCCCCCTGCGGGTGTTATTGACCCCCAGCAAGTGGCAGGCAACAATGAAACGTCACCCATGCGGGCTTAAAACAACCACGAAGGGACTCGAACCCTCAATCTTCTGATCCGAAGTCAGACGCCTTATCCATTAGGCCACGTGGTCACCCCTGTACTGCTGACTCAGCACCGTGCCAGCCGCCACCGCTTCGTCCCGCACGATTCCTCCACTCGACGGGAACCCCCCAGGGCCGCAGGGGGTGCAGGAGCGGGATGACCCAGCGTGTGCTGATATCCCCCCTGCTGGACGTGCGGGAGAGGCGGCTGGGGGGGGACGAACCGGGG